CGTTTGTTTTTTGTTTTTAAGATGTTTCCGCTTTCAGTCTGGGGGAAGGTGAAAAATCAAAGAATGCGAGATACATGTCGCGCTACACGACAACAAAAACAACAAAAAGAAGAGAGAGAGAACGAAGGGCCCTGCCGCGCTACGCCGCGCTACGCCGCGCTACGCCGCGCTACGCTACGCCACGCACCGTCCATTAGGCCCGCACGCCACCCGGTATCATACCGATGCGACGCCGCGTGGCACGAAGAGGCGCTGCGTGGCGGAGGGTGGCGAAGAGATCAGGAATGACAACAGAAAATCTATGGATTCTTTTAAATTTAAAAATTAAAAGCAAGAACATCATTGCTAATGTAGTAGAGTGTACAACTTTCTCAGAACGTCTGGTGACCGAGAGGGAATCACCTCAACCTGTCCTCTCCTCGTCTGCAGTTCGGTCATCATAATCAATGCCCCATCACGCAACGACGACCGCCCCCCCCCCCCTCCCCCGCGCACAGGCAGAGCGCCGCCGCGGCCGACCGCTATCTGGGCGATATCGTAATTTCACATCCTGGCCGGCTCGGCGTCACGCGCCCCGCCCCGCCCCGCCCCGGCCGCGCACGGCACACAGTCTATCGGGCGCGTCCATCACTCGGCTGCGCTAGGATAGAGTCATTTGCGATAATCGCGCGACATCGCGGATCGCATCGTCATATTGCAGAGCGATACCCGCTACACGGCGGTGTGTGGCGCGGGCAAAACGGCGAATACGGACGTGTGGCGCGGCGGCTATCGAGCGACGAGCGCGCGGGGTCGCGGGGGTGGAGGGGTCGGTGGCAGAAGCACTCGGACGGCACCGGCGCCTCGCGAAAACGGCACAATACGGCGGTTGAGTTGTAACGAAACCAAGCTGCCTATATAAAGCGGGTAAAAGGTGCCGGCGCATAACCCTAGGGCGGTGGAAGGCGGAGAGGTGTATCGCTCGATAGGCGGCTGGCTGGCTGAGGGGTGGCGGCGCCCGAGGCCTCGGGGGTGGGAAGGGCGCGAGAGAGAGGAGATTGGGGGGGAGG